CTACAAAAAAAGTTTTATTATTAGTCAAATCATTCCTACTCTTATTACTTAGCATTTAATTTACAGCTCTTTATATTACAATTAGCTCAGCAATCCTATTTCTCATTCCTGACAACTGGGAGCAGAGGGGTAACATTATTAATCCCATTTTCTAGATTGGGAAAAGGCAACATTTCCATCTATTCTGTCTCCAGTTTCTATGACTCTATGATTAAAGGCACCTGCAATCATGTTCATTAGTTCCCCATGAAAAATGATATTCAACACAGATGGCAAATGCAGGCAAGAATTAACAAGCACTTGATAGCAACGCCAAAATAACATCTAAACAATCACTTCTGAACATTAAAGTCATGGCAAACAAGTTCTAATTTATATAAAGGTGTTGCAGAGGATTAGGGAAAATGAACAAATATATTTTTCTTTATCCTCATTCATTTAGGAAATACCTAACATGGTTTAGAAATCCTTTTTGAAATGCAGCCTGAAGAATGATTAATTTCCTCCATGAAGGGTCTTCATTTAGCAAATAGGTCTAGGCTAATATGTCCTGATGTTTTATTTTGAATCAGAGCTAAAACAGAAGAGGTCCTGGATGGGGAGACCTGGCTCTATGGTTCTCAGGCGAGCTCCCTGAGAAGCCTGCACACTGTGGGCAAGGGGCTCACCATTCCAAATGTCCACCAAATACACACCCAACACTGGAGAGTGGTTTGCCTATAAACGTAGTCTTTGTCATTTATATGGAATTTACATGAATGAAATATAATTGCTCCAAACATACTACTGAATTCATACTCACTGCATATAGCCACTATTATATGGGGCGGGGGTCCCCTCAATTTTTTGCTATTAAAAAGGAGTGTTGGGGCGCCTGGGTGGCTCAGTGGGTTAAGCCTCTGCCTTCGGCTCAGGTCATGATCCCGGGGTCCTGGGATCTCGGGCTCTCTGCTCAGCAGGGAGCCTGCTTCCCTTCCCCTCTCTCTGCCTGCCTCTCTGCCTACTTGTGATCTCTCTCTGTGAAATAAATAAATAAAAATCTTTATTTAAAAAAAAATAAAAAGGAGTGTTCATTTTCAAAAAGCTTAGGAAACACTGATCTAGTCCAGCCATTCATTTGATTGGTGAGGTTTAGATCTTGGGGACAGCTGGGACTCCAATCTGTCTCCTAATTCCCAAATGGCCTTTGTCCAACACCATACATCTCTTCCACTGTGAGCACCCCATCTATGGGAAGTCAATAGTTATGGCTATGTCCTCTGTCTTAAAGAGGAGAGTACAGTCCTGCCCTCCCTCCCTGGATATGAACTTTTCTTATCTCCTGAGCCTTGCCTTTGCCTTTCCTTTTACTTTTCCTTCCCCTCTACTCCCCTGTTTAAACCTTCAGGGTTAGCAGCACTCAAACCCTTTCAAGCTCTGATGTTCTTTGAGTGCCCCTATACATTCAGTCTCCATATGAAGTGGAAATATAGTCTCCATGGTACTAAAACAAGGAATGTGAGAAGTATGTATACAGTAGGCATGTACATGAATATATTTTACAGCTAAAACCCCAGTGCTTCTAATATCTACAGAAAATAAGAAAATTGAAATATTCATGAATAGTCATTTTATTTCATCTGAATCTGACAACACTAATAGGATGTTAATAAACCCCTAGCATACCAACTTTTCAAAATGCTTTCATTAAACATAAATTCCATAAAAACACTTAATGCAGTTTATTGTCCTGATGGCTCACCAGCATATAAGTGCTAGGATTGAGGGACACGAGAACTAAGTGCCATGAAGAGAAGAAATGTTCCCTATTTTATTCACTACTGTTTTCCCAGTGCCCAGAACAGCATCTGGCACATGGTAGACATTCAATAAATATTTGTTGATTGAGTGAATGACAGAAGTAAACAGGGATGATGGTCTTAGCTATTTATTTAGCCTACATATAGTTCTATTTTTAAGAAGATGGGATGATTCTATAATGGAACAACTGTGTTTCTAATGATCTCTTCTCAGTCTTTAATTCTCCTTTAATTTCAGTCTTTAACGTGATGTAATAATCTTCCTCCAAATATTTTCATGTAATTGTTCAAAGTTATACAAGTAGTACATTCATTTTAGGAAAATCAGATACGACTAATATATAAAAAAATAAAATTCCCAATGATCTCACTACCCAAGGACGACACAATGAGTTTGCTAAAGTGTACTCTTTCTAATTTTATTCTAAGCATATGTACCCACGTACATCTGACACAAAACTCTCTGCCTTAGACTTCAGGATTTGGACCGTTTTCTTTTTTCCTTAAGCCCTTTTGCTTATTGCCCTATTATAGCACCTTACCCTCCTCCTATGTCCTAAATATATTCCTTCCTCAATATTTAGGTCCTTGCTTCAAGAGGATTTCCCCCCCTTCTCCCTCCAGAGGATTCATCTATTCTTGTTTCAACTTTAAGTTCCATGTGGATGGGCGATCACTGTACCATCAGTCCTCCCTTTTCTCCGAGACACCAGTGCTCCACAAGTTCCACACCTCTAAAACCAAATGCATTGTGTTTCTTCCATCAAAACCACATCACTAGTTCACCTATCCCATTTCTATCAACTACAAGAGTACTGTACAAGCCGTCCTCAATGGCATCATCTTTGGTCCCCCAACCCACATCCAACCACTCACAATGATTTCCATCCTTCTTCCTGTTAACTCTGTCATTCATCTCTTGCCATTTCTACCAGTGCAGTTCAGGCCCTTACATCGACAGGATTTTCTACGTGTGTCTCCTGCTTTCTGTGCAACTAAACACCCACCCAGCTTACCCACTGCTACCAGCTAACTTCCTAAAACACCATGTCCATCTTGCCCACCCTACTTTTCCATCCTAACGTCTCATTACTACTGAAAACAAACCCTTGCTCCAGACAGCCTGGTGTATTCATTATTCACTCAATTCCAAATCATTTCCAGTAAAGTATTTATTAAACATTCATTATGTGTAAAAATCCATTCATTCAGGGGCGCCTGGGTGGCTCAGTGGGTTAAGCCTCTGCCTTTGGCTCAGGTCATGATCTCAGGGTCCTGGGATCCAGCCCCGCTTTGGGCTCTCTGCTCAGCCGGGAGCCTGCTTCCCCCTCCCCCTCTGCCTGCCTCTCTGCCTACTTGTGATCTCTGTCTGTCTGTCTGTCAAATAAATAAATAAATAAATAAAATATTTGTAAAAGTCCATTCACTCATTCAACATATACTTACTGAGCAATGATTCTGTAAGTTAATATACTGGGGACACAATGGTGAACGCGACTGACCAAGTCTCTGTTCTCATGGAACCTAGAGGCCAGTAGCTTATAGATGGGCAACTCCAAATCGTGGTGGTCTGATCCCAGAATACTCCTAACCTTCCACTGACATGTCAAATGAGTCAAAACATCCCCCAGGGCTGAGCTTTGTGGCTCCAAGTGGGGAAGGAGTTCTGAAGAAAGGAAAGGCCGAGTGAGGAGAGCTGGTGTGGAGCTTGGCTTCTCTGCAGACGTGAGACACAGCTCAGCACTGAAGGACAGGCGTCCCAGAGAAGGGGGTCCCTTCCATCCACGGGGACAGGGGGAAAGGCGCATACATGGAATGGACACAACAGCAGCCATAGCACGGACTTATTTTGTATAAAGGTCCGTTCGACACCTATTCAGCAGAGCACGTGCTCTGTCCCCGCGGGCCCGGCCCGGCGGAATATGTGAAGGTGACTCAGACTGGGCTCCTACCACGGAGGGATTTCCAGCTAGCAAGGGGGATCAGGCAGGCCCATGATGATCTGTCACACCCCAGAAAGTGAGATGTTCCATTAGAGATTCAGAGACAACACTGAAGGAGTTCAGAAAGAGGTACGTGTCTGGGTTCCTAGAACAGTATTTACTGAATCACATATTGTTATACATCTACATGCATCTACTGAAAATACCTATCCTGTTTTAAAGTGTCCTCTCACTCACTTTCTCATTTTATCCTAAGTGACTTGTGAAGCAGGCAAAGTATAATGGATTGCTTTCCAGATGAGCAAAATACAGCACAGATGTTTTAAGTGATCTGCTCAAGTCAGGAACACACACAGGCAAAAGTAGAACAAGAACTCCCTGTCCATCTCGGCCCATTTCTGCAGAAGTATCTAGAGCAGAGGGCACAAGAAGCTGATTGCGCATGACACGTAGCAGGTGTAATGAAGCCAAGTGGCAGCTGGATTTAAAAGAGCAGGACTGAGGCAGCCTCTGAAGGTGCAAGAGAAGGGATATGACCCAATGAAGTCTCACATTCCCGCTTTTCCTTCTCAGGTCTTGCGTATATCATTGACCACCCCTAGGCCTGTCCAAGCCATAACCATTCGGGGTTCATCCCTAATTTTTTCGGGCCACGCTGGTTTTCCCTCCCACTGATCTCCCGGAGTGGGGATGGGGGTTGAGTAGCCGGTTCTCTCCTGCACACCATAGCGTGCCCAGCCAGCACACTGCTAGGCTCAGGGCAGGTGGCTAAATACGGGCGAATGAATGAATTCCTGGTACCTCCACGGACCAGTAAGGGTATGTTGGTCCCCCAAGAGTGGGCGGGCATGGGACACCCTCGCCACCCGGAGGCGCTCACCGACCTCGACCAACGAGGTGGTTGCGGGGAAGGGGAGGTAGGATGGCCCGGGGCCGTGGGGACCACGACGCGCCATCAGAGGCTCCGGTCCCCCCGCTGGAGGCCGGGGCTACAGCTCCCACGCTTCCGCAGAAGGCATTTCCTGAGAGCATGGATTCTATCCCCATCAGGAAAATTGTCAGGGAAAGTGGTGGAAAATGACGCCGGCGGAGGAAAAACGTCGGGAGTAAAGGAGCCCAAGCCCCGGGCCCAATCCCTCACGGAGGGGACTCCCTGAGGAGGTTAGAGAAGCCATGCGCAGCTCCCGCCGCGGCAAGAACCAGGGCTGGAAGCCTCGCGAGATCTTGGGGAGGGGGCTCGGGAATCTCGTTGCGTTGCCTAGCGACGGGCAGGACGCTCGCAGGCCCCCACGCTAACCCCAGCTGTAGCCTTAAATCTCCTACCATGGGAGAAGGCGGCGGCCGTAGCTTTGGGACCACTAGGGAGCTGCAGAGGCTGAAGCAGCAGGCGATGGAGTACTACCGGGAGAACGAAGTCCCGCGCAGGCTGGAAGAGCTGCTCAACTCCACCTTCTACCTCCAGCCTGCCGACGTCTACGGGCACCTGGTAGGGACCTGGGACAAACACCCTCTTCCCTCCAGCCCCTCTCCCCCCGCCCCACGCTGCGGCAACGCCACGCGCCTGCGCCGTTGACTCGCGCACGCGCGCCGCCGCCGCGGGCTCGGGATCCGCGGTCTTGCAGGGAGCCGACGCCTAGGGAAGAAGCGGTACGGAAACGTGGGCGGGAGAAATCTCGAGAGAAAGAGAGAAAGAAAGTGGTGGACAGGCAGCGGTTAGAGGAAAGCAGGGTCTCGGCGCATTCGGGGCTGAAGCGACAGCTTCCTCGCTGCCTCTGAGCGGGTCCGCTCGGGTGCAGTGCTTTTTAAACACAGACCTTAATACCGCGTAGCTCAGCTTAGCAACCTCCAGCGGCCTCCGTTTGAACACGGATGAGTGCCTCAGCCTGCCCTAGGGCCTCATGCCCAGCCCGTTCTCACTGCTCCCAAGTCTCCTTCCAACCTATGCTCTCCTTGCAGTGCGCACCTTTCTCACCCTGGATGCCCACCCCCACCCGACCAGCTGCCACCCAAACTCCAAATTCACATCAGTCTTGCCCGTTTCGCCTGAACTAACTGTCCTCGCGTGTTCCTAAATCATTTCCTAAACGTAATGAGACCCTTCCTAGGCTTGCGAGCTTCATGGAGAGCAGGGGACTTTTCCTACCACCTGCCTAGCCCCTGTGCTCAGCACAAGATCAGGCACATACCTTAGCCTTAAGCAATGAGCAGTCGAAACAAACAAGCATGTTCTCATTTCCAGATCGATTAAGTCCTAGCCAACAATACCTTCCTCCTGGAAGGCAGTGTGGTTGGGACAGCCGAGTACGTACATGCAGTAAAGACGCACAGTGTGTTTACAAGGTTCAAAACCACACCTGGTTGCGACAGTTGATATGGGGGGGGGGGCATGAATGTTTATTTCTCTTGGTCGTGGCCTAGAAGTGAAGTTGTATGTTGGGGTGGGGTGGGGAGGGACGTGCTGAGCTCCCAGTGCTCTGTGATTTATGTTACTTCACTTAAATCTTTAGGACCAGTGGGAGGTAAAAATTAATTTCAGTTTTACAAATACGGAAACTGGCGCGGTGAATTTAGGTGATTTTCCCAAGGGACACAGTGAATAACAGTGACAAATTGAACCAGGTCTGTGTTCCCAGTACCAAGGGATTGCGTGGTACATAGTGGACACTCAAGCACTTATTTGTGGCACAAATGAATGAATGTGACTCTGGATTCCATTCTCTTTCCACTGTCTCTTACTTGAGGAATTCTTGAAAGTTAACTAGTCTAACTTCTTCATTTCACAAAGACACCAAGACCTTGCCTCCCAGCTACCTAGTGCAAAAAGTTAAGACTAGACACTTGGACTCGGGTTCCTCAATGTAATGTTCTTCCCAGTCTGCTAGGCAGCCAGGACTTTGGTTTGTACACTTCTCTGGGAGTTTATACCTTGGTTAGGGACAAAAACCACTGTTATGTAAAAGAACTGGAGTAATAGATAAGGTGATACATGATTGTGCTAGACTGAGGGACAGATCACTGTATGCCTGTCAAAGGAATTCAAGGATAGGGAAGAACCTGTAGGCTGTAGCATCTGAGAAAGTTTTGGCTTGGACTTTGAATAATGTTGAGGAATTGGACTGGCAAAAAGACAATGTCACTGCCTGAGTTTTAGCCATCTGTATTTTCATTTAGTTTCTCCCTCTATCAAGTCCAACTAAATCATGTTACCAGAGCAGCCTTCCTAACCCTAAATCTGATCATCTTTCTTTTGCTCAGAAACCTCCTGTGGCTCCTTACTGTTCCCTAAAGCCTGAAGTTCCTCACTTCCTCCCCTTGCCTTATCATACTCCCTCTACCCAAAGTATCTGCCCTTGACTCCTCCCCTTTGTCTGCCCAGTGAAATGCTACATATTCTCCAGTGTTCAGCTCAAGTGCCATTTCTTCACTGCTTCTGTACATATTTGAGGAACTGAGATAATGAGGAAGATCCTTGGGGGCAATAGTAATACAGTCTAGTCCCTTATAGTTTGATAAAGAGTTTGAGATCCAGAGTCAGGCAGATCTGATTTGATTCTTAGCCCTTCCACTTAGTAGCTGTAGTGGACTATGATATTGATGCTCCCCAATGAACCATACCACCATTGTGACTGCTCTTATGTAAATCTCTCCTACACCTTGGGACTTGGCCATATGACTTGCCCCACACCAAGCACAATGCAGACAAAAGCATGGTAAAGTGCTGCTGTATTGAGGTTCGTAGTATTGGAGTACTCCCTCCTGGAAACCAGTCATCATGTTGCCTGGAAGTCAATTACCCAACTGGAGAGAGAGAGAGAGAGATCAAGGTAGAGAGGCTCTGGCAGATGCAACAGCTCCAGGAAATCCTGTAAGAAAGACATGCCCAGCCAGCCTCTAGGATGTTCTAACCATCCTGGCTGAGACGCCAAGACACATGAGTTAAGTCATCCTGGATACTCTGGGCCCAGTCAAGTCTCCAGGTCATGGAGCCTGAATGGGAGACGCCAGGCAAGATCAGCCAAAAGAATTACCACGTTGAGCCCAGACCAGATTATAGAATCATGAGTGAATAAATGGCTTCAGCCACTAAGTTCTGGAGTCGTCTGTTACTAAGCAGTGAGTAATTAAGGCCTTGGTTACTTTACCTTATACAATTTTTCTGGAACTCAGTTTGCTCCTCTGTGGAATGGAAATGATATGATTTACCTTACAGGGTTGTTTTGAGAATTTTACGACATAATGTATACAAAGTTCCCAGGGATGTGCCTGACACATCAGTTTATACAAGATTTAATTTATGGAATCCTAAATATGCCAGGCACTGCAGTGTGTGATACAGTGATAAACAAGACACTCCTTCAAGGCATATACTAAACACTTAAAAAATGTTAGTTCCTTTCTCTTCCTAACATAATATTGTACATTGTGGAGACTTGTTGCTAGTTATTTCAAATTCACTATAATACACAACACATAAGCTAGATGATATTTTTTCCTCTCCTGATTCTATCTAAATTCATTGAGACACTTACTCTGTAACATATGAACCATCATCCTTAAAATACATGGATGGCTTGGGGTGCCTGGGTGGCTCAGTGCTTGAGATTCTGACTCTTGATTTCAGCTAGGGTCGTGATTTCAAAGTGCTGGGATAGACTCCAGTCTGGGGGCTCTGCACTCAGCGGGGAGTCTGCTTCCCCTCTCCCTCTACCCCTCCCCCTGCCCATACACACTGTCTAAAATAAATAAACCATATATATATATATATATATATATATATATATATGTAATATATACATAATACATATATATATACACACATATATATAATACATATTATACACACACACATATACACACACACGTATATATACATAAATGGATGGCTTGAAAATTAACTTTTGCTTTTTTGTGCTGGGGCACCACCTGTGGGTAGGAGATGACTTGCTATGTAGGCTGAGGTCATTGGATTTTGAATGCAAAGATCAGAGGCCTGTTCGGCAGTGAATGCAGATAAAGAGCCCAGTACAATCCATTGATGAGGTCCAGGAGGGTGTCCCCTCACCTTCCCTTCCTCCTCCTCTCCCCCCCTCCTGCTCCTCCAACGTGTAGAAACGCCCTCTTGAATCTTTTTACTTGGGCTTTTTGAGTGGGCTTTCTGCTTCAGCTTCGTGCTCTTCTCCCTCTCTCTTAGAGCACTTCCAAATGGCTTCTGCTTTCCCACATCAATGAAATGGCTTTCACCAAGGTTGTCGGAACCTTGTTTGAACACATTCTGTGCGTGAACCGCTGGTGAGTGAAGTGGAGCCTCTGCAGAAGCCTTCACCATTAAAATAGCAGATGCCTCATGGGGAGGAATAAAAACTGGCCCCCAGAAGTTTCCAGAGTTTGCCTCACAGCATTCTAGAGACCAGCTGACTTCCGGATCTTGGACAGCAGGATGGGTTAGGACCTGCTAAAAAGTGACATGGGATCTCTAAGAAATGTATGGGAAAACATTCTCAGGTGTGTCATGTTTGATGGACACTTTGCTTCCAAATAGGCGTCTCTTTGGAAAGCTAAGTCCTAATTTTCAAACAACTAATCTCCTTCATTGGGTAGCTTGAATCATCTAATTAAATCAGAGGTCCTTGTTTCAAAGTAAATTAATATGGCTGAGACTCCAATCTTGAGTTATTTTTGTTTGTTTTTCTCCTCCCTTAAATTCACTTGTACTACAAATTTCACTCTGAGGCACCGTCTCCAGGACCAATTGGAAGGCAACGTGGCAGATGGAAGATTATCTGATTCAGGAACAGCCCAAGTTAGTGTGGGCCTCATACTCCTAATTTGTAAAAACAGGGAGCATAACCACATTCCTCATTTTTCTAACTAAACTGCTATGAATTTGGAGGTAGACTTCATGTCCTTCTCCCTTTCGCCCATTGATTGAGAGCAGTTGACATGGATTCTGGACTCAGACTGCCTAAAGGCGAACCCCAGCTCAGCCAGCTGTTGTGCAATCTTAGGCAAAATATTTCATCTCTCTATACTCGCTTTCCTCATTTGTACGGTGGAGATTTTAAAAATACTGATCCCTATGGGGTTGTTATATGACATAAATAATGTGGGTAATGCCCTTAAAACAGTGGCCAATACCATGATCTATTCTTTAAAAATAAAACACATAACTATGGTTTAAGTGTTTTATAGCTCTATATTTTCTTAGAACTATTCTGTAAAATGGGGACATTTATTTGATTTCTAAAATTGTGGGATGATGTCATTTAAAACTGATTTTTAAATCAGTCCTTTTATAAGAATAAAAGACTTGCTTTCCTTTTTAAAAACTTCGTTCAAATGTTTCATTTTGCTTGTAAATAAATTCACATTTTACAGTCATTAAAAGAAATAAATATATGTGAGTCTCTGCTGAGAGTTCAAAAGAGAACAAATCATTCCATATCCTGGAGACCCCGCATCAGGTTAATCCAAATCTTAGCACGTGAGGGCAGGGCAGTTCCCACAGAGTTGATAGTTCAAACCTCACCCTCACCCCCGCATGAGGACACTGAGAGGAGAGGTTTAAAAGAAATTAGAGTAAATGTGAATGATCTTTTAAATATAAATTAGTCATGGTATTGTAATTTTTGTTTTTGTGTGTGTGTGTGTTGAAGGCAAACTGCTTTTCTAAACTTGCAAAGCCTCCCACCATATGCAGAGTAGTGGGGAAGAAGGTATTGGATGGACTGGGGCTTCCAACCCTACAAGTGGAAATATTCTGCACCATTCAAAATTTCCCCAAGGTAGGACGCAGCTTAAATGTGTTCTGTATTGTGTCTTGGTTCCTTTGCATTTATTGTCTAAATTGTAGAAAATTAATGTTTTGAAATTCCATGTTTGTGAAATACATACATACAACTTGTAGGTACTCATGTACATAAAGCATGAACCATACAAGGAAGCATTATGGCTTTATTATGCTTAAGTGCAATATGGGTACAGACATGGCGTGCTAGCCCATAGATGATCCAAGACGGAGAAATGGGGCAAAAATAGTTTTTAAAAAATCTGACATCATTAATGTGGTGAGTTCTGTAAATGTATAGGTATGTTTATAGATTCATATGTTTATATATAAATTTAGATAGATTTATAGATATGTGGGCTGATCAACATAAAGAAAAATTTCATTTTCATAATTATAATAATTCACTTGAATTGCTACATATTTGTTAGACGTAAATTTGCTACCGTCTCTGGGAGGCAAATAATTATGATTAAGTCTGTATCCTTTTAGCTATTTATTGGAGAGGCAGTGATAAAAATGAAGTTCAATGTAAGATTTTTTTAAGTGTATTTTAACAAGGTAATAATTTTAAATGTTCCCTGAAGTTGGGTTCCATACAGTTTCAACAGTTATAAAAATATCTCAAGGAAAATTACATATTCTCATTTTCCCTTTGAAACTGGTGATAAAATATGCACATTAAAAGCCGGATACATTCAATTTCTTCCTTTCTGGAAGAGGGAGGGGAAGATGTAGAACACGTTGATGTTATTTCCAGAGCATATGTTCGGTGGTGATCTCAACGCATTTTGAAGTCCACGAGAATGTTCTGCCGGAGCTGGCGGACGCGGAGCAAGAGGCAAGGTCCGAGGCGGTCCGCACCGCAGTGCAGTGGGTCAACGAAACCATCACCGAGGAGCTTCGGGGCCTGACGCCCTCCGACCAGGCTGAGGTGGACCAGGTGCTCAGGTAGATCTTCCGCTTGCAAACCAAAGTGTCCAGTACAAAGAGTATCTCTCTTTTTTTTTTTTTCTTTTTAATTTCACGCGCCAGTAAAACAGGTCTGTCGTATCTAGAAGTTATGGTCAGCAGGTTGAGTAAGAAGCCTATTTGAAAGCGGTGAAATGCTCTTTTCTAAAAACCTGGTTTTTTTTTTTTTCCTGTGTGAGGACATGAGGCCTCTCAGCCTCTTTTCCATGTGTATTCAGTCGAAGTTTCAGTAGAAAGTTTCTCAGCAAGAGCACTGGTAAGAATCCAGATGGTGTCCTTTCTGGCCCCCTACCTCCTGTGCCACCTTTGAGGGCTTCATACGCTTCCACTGAGTCCCAGTGGGTGACGCTTGCGGTCAGTCCTCCAACCACAAACAGGTCCTCCGTGCTCTGCCCACAAGTTGACTTTAACACGTGAAAACCAAGGCAGTGGTTGCTAGGGCCCTGTCAGTGCAGTTCAATGCCCAGCCAAGGAACAGTGAGCATTACTGTTCCTTTCACGCAAGTCCAATGCCACGAGCCTCTTGGCCAAACAGAGGTCAGCTGGATTCTGTCTCTCTCGAAGCTCCACCACTTGCTTAATTAAACAGAACATCCACAAAGCTGTAGCAGCTGAGGTCACAGAGGTTGCTGCCTGGGTTCTCCTCGAGGATTTTCATGGATTCCTGTCTCACATTTAGGTCTTCTCGTCCATTTTGAGTTCATTTTTGTGTGTACCTTTTGGGACTTCTCAAGATTTTTTGGTTTGTTTTTGTTTTTGTTTTTAAACTATTCATTTTAAGGTTTCTTCCCCACCAAAAAAAAAGAAAAAAAAGAAAATGAATTCCTGTCCACTGTACTATACATTTCACTATCTACTCTTGACTCATTTTTCTTTTCATGGTCATTTATTCAAAGAGAAAAATCCAGTAGCCCCTAATCAAATAGCATATTCAAATTTTACTTTAAATATATAAACAAATAGGCTCAAATAATTAAAAAAAAAACAAGCACCTAAAATCTTTAAGACTTTATTTCCAGGCCAAAATTAATTTTAGCTCTTGAACACAGGGTTTTTTTGTTTTTTTTTTTGTAAGATTTATTTATTTATTTGACAGACAGAGATCACAAGTAGGCAGAGAGGCAGGCGGGGGTGGGGTGGGAAGCAGGCTCCCTGCTGAGCAGAGAGCCCAATGTGGGGCTCGATCCCAGGACCCCAGGATCATGACCTGAGCCGAAGGCAGAGGCTTTAACCTACTGAGCCACCCAGGCGCCCCTTGAACACAGTGTTTTAACAGCATCATTATTTTGGGACCCTGGAAAGTGAAGCTGATTTGTTTTTAAGTAGCTAAAAAAAAGCAGGGTTAATTGTTGACACATGTTGAATGGAGGTCAGCAAACCAAAATTATGAGCGATATTCACTGTAAAGCCATATTTTCTTGCCATCAAGGACATTCTTTGGAAATAAAGCACAAGAAGACAAAGAGAGGAGAGAACTGGAAAAGAGCCTGGAAGACGCAAGAGTGTCCATCCCTTCACCTGTACCACCACCGCCGCCTCCTCCACCCCCAGCCAAAAAAAGGGGACAAAAGCAAGGTCAGTGTCTCATCTTGCAGAACCTTAGATAACTAGAGTGTGAGGAAGTAAGGCTGAAGCTCAGGCTGCCTTTTCAGTTAGAGTCATTTTGCTGCAGACCTAGGGTGGCCCCCCGCCCCAGGTACCATCCATGCTCAATGCCACTTCCTTGCTCGACGCTGCCATATTGGGCAGGCAAGGGTTTACCCCATCCCACTCTCCCTTTTGTTTGAAAAGAAAAAAATATTTCTTACCCAGAGGTGAGCACTTACCATGCAGAGTACACTACATAGTGGCAATGCTGGGGAGGACAGGGAAAAGGAAAGTGGCACGGGGGACCTTTAACTGCCCCCCAAATATCCATTAGCTCATTAAAAGCCACTCGATGTTTTAAGGATTAGTGATATCTTTTGATATGAATAACCAATATTTTCTCAATCCTATTAATAACATATTAATAAAAGTTCTTGTGGGGCGCCTGGGTGGGTCAGTAGGTTAAGCATTTGCCTTCGGCTCAGGTCATGATCTCAGGGTCGTGGGATCGAGCCCCGTCTCTTTGGCGGGGAGACAGCCTCTCCCTCTGCCCCTACCCCCAGCTCATGCTCATGCAATGTCTCACTCACTTTCTCTCTTGCAAATAAATAAAATCTTTTTTTTTTTTTAAGTTTTCATTGGGAGCCTTTGCTATTTTAGTTTTTTTAAAGATTTATTTATTTATTTATCTGACAGGCAGAGATCACAAGTAGGCAGAGAGGCAGGCAGAGAGAGAGGAAGGGAAGCAGGCTCCCCGCTGAGCAGAGAGCCCGATGCAGGGCTCAATCCCAGGACCCTGAGATCATGACCTGAACCGAAGGCAGAGGCTTTAACCCACTGAGGCACGCAAGTGCCCCGCCTTTGCTATTTTAAAGCAAATAGTCCAAGTTATCATGACCCTTTGTTCCATGCTTTCCAACATACGGTGAACTTCAGCCCCTCTAGTATTCCGGAACTGCTGCTCGTGTTGTAAATAGAGTTTTACGTCCTTCCAACATGCTCCTTGAAGGCATGAATCATGTCTCATTCAATTTAGCCCCACCAGGGCCTAACATGATGCCAAAGCACAAAGTAAACACCCAATAAATGTGGGTTCCCTGGGATAAGAAAGCACCAGTACCAGGAAGGGACCAAAGAGACCATGGAGACATGGTTTCTTATCTCCTGGACTCAGATGCTGAGGCCCAGAGAGGGAAGAGAGTCTCCCAAGGCAAAAGAATCATGTAAGACCAATCTCCGTGCACAGGGGGCGGCCACTGCTAAATTACCGGTAGAGATCTGCGGTGCATGTTCATGGGGCGGTTGCTGTTGACTGACAGAACTTGGAGCACCAGAGAAGGGAAGAAGTAGGAGGGGACAGTAGTTCGCTAAACCTTTACTGTGTGTTATAGGGTCATGTGCCTTATTCCGCTTGTCTTACCCACCTGACCCAGGCCAGCAGCTGGGGACCGGCACTGACCATTCACAAAGGATGGTGTGGCACCTGGGCAGGCTGGGCGGCGGCTGGGAGCAAATGAGAGTGAAAGGCGGGTGAGGCGGAGGGTGCACGGCTGGCTCTGGAAGCCATTTCTATTACAATGGGACCCCTGTTTGGGATTAGCCAGCAAGGTTACTAGTGAGATACACACACATGAAGAGATGTGTGCAGCAGGAAGCTAGATACGCAGGAGCTCTGGTGGGTGTAGAAAACAAAGGATTGGGATTCAGAGACACTCCAGATCTTCTTCCTTCACTTCCTTTTGGATATTGGGCAAGTCTTTTGGCCTCTCTAAGCCCTACTTTACTTCTAAGTGAATGTGGGATTGACAGTACCTGCCCTATACCATCGTCAAAGGAGTTCATATCGAATGTCTGAAAATTTCTTAGAGTGGCAAAATCCATGGCTACGGATGATTTGGACGTTGGGGAATCATAAGTGAAGTCACACAGAAACTTCTTGGGGGCTTGAGGTGGAGACCATGTTCTCCCCAACCTCAGTCCCCCCCTTTCTTCACATCTGTAAGCAAAGCATTAAAAAATAAGAGTTTTATCATAGTCAAACGTCCTTGAAAGGAATCTTTTATCCCTGTTTTTCCCTCCAGGGAGGAACGATACTTTTACAGAGAAACCTATTGTGCCTCCAGAACCCGTTGAACCTGTACTGAATGGTAGCATGGCCATAGGGGCTGTGTCACTTGCTGTGGCCAAAACCAGGGCCATCCTGGACAATAACCCCCTCTACTTAAATATTGCATTACTGAAGCACAGTCCGGTCAGTATCCGTTGTCTTCCATCACGAGGACCCGTGAGTATCTCAACACCAGTGAACCACATTTCTTGTTTCTCCTTGGTTTCCCCTCTTCCAGGAACAGCCCACAAAGCTCACCTTACCTTTGCCAATGGTGTCTCTGGTCAGCTGCGGGAAGTCATCACCTGGGAAGCTGAATTTAATGAAAGAAGTGATGTGTATACCCCATCCTGGATTAACAGCTAAACAAGTACCTTTGACGATCTCACACTACTTTTTCCTTTCTTTTTTTGTTAGGATTTTATTTATTTAGAGAGAGGGCATGAGCAGAAGGAGGGGGAGAGGGAGAGAGAGAATCTCAAGCAGACTCCTGGCTCAGCACAGAGCCCAATGTGGCGCTCGACCCCAGAACCCTGAGATCATGACCCAAGCCGAAATCAAGAGTCAGATGCCCAACTGACTTGAGCCACCCAGGCTCCCCTCACACTGTTTTAAAAAAAGGGCTCTGCCATCGACAAGTCTTTCGCGTAGTTCCCCAAGGCTTATGACACCAAGGGAGGGAGAATTAAATATAAAATGAAAAGAAAAATAATTTAGGCAATCAGAAGTGGAAAGAAAGCAAGACCTCAAATACAAGGGGCCCATTTAAGCCACCTTCAGTCTCTGGTTCCCTTCAGCACTGACTTATGCCTGTGACTCACCAAGGAGCCCTGGGTGAGTAACTTGGCAGCCTTGATGGGCTGGGAGGTTGTTACCTGGGGGAGTCAGGGCATCTTTTTTTAATGACTGAGTCACTGCAGCAGCAGCAGGAGGAAGCTGGCTCTTTGCCAGCAGTCAGTTCTGTTTAGGAAGAGCTCCAGGGCTGGCCGGACCACCTGGCATGCAAGAGAGGTTCAGTGCGTGCTTCTAGAATGAAGGACTCCTAAGTTGCATCTTTATTCTTAGTGGTGTGCTAGTTTCTATATTGTTCTTTACTGGCCTGAATGAGCCCTTGTGCCTCTTTAAATCTGCATGAAATATTCTACCAGTTAGGGCATTAGAAAGAACTTACATTTAGGTATTATAGTGGATGTTTTCAGGAAAAAGTACAGGAAGTTCCATCCCCTTGGGTAATACATTGAGTGACATTTTTTACTTAAGCTAGTGAGAATCATTATTTTTTTCAATCTCAAGATAATTTCTTCATGATAAAAAATTCTTTTTTAAAGAGAATAACCGTTACCTCATGATGGAACACTAGGAATTCATAGCTGGCTCACCGTCTGTCTGATCACATTCAGATCCTAGCCCCAGGGTCTTTCCTGCAGTTCAAATCTGTTGGGCTATTGGAGGACCAGCGTAGTTGGCATGCCATCCTTTATTTGTCTTCGTATGCAGATCCCACAATCATCAGGATATACTTTCCTATTTTTTAAGTGACAGTGGCTTTATACCAATTCACACACTGTCATGGAGAATCCCTTGGTGACCTATGACGTGTATTTGCAAAAAGAGTTGGTCAGGAGACTATGAAAGAGAATGAGTCTGACTTGATCCAGCCAACGACACCCGTCAGTTCTGAACAGCGAAGAAAGCAGACTGAGAAGAGCTCTCGTTCATATCCAACCAAATAAAAATTGAGGGCTGAAGGTTAACATTTAATCTTCTGATTTTGTAGACCACATCTAATCCACTAACCAGGATACCTTATCGGGGACCCTGCAAATATTCAGTTAGAAATAGCCAGTGTGTGTTGTAAGTTTTTGTATTTGAAGTTTCTAGACTACAGTTGTGGAAGATCCCGGTTATTATACTTACAGGGTGTGGAGATGCTTCTGGAAATTCAGAAACATATCAACAAAACAATTGAAATGGTAGGTAAAGAGAATCTATGGTATCTAATTGCTGATACTGATACCTCCCAGTATACACATTTTACTTTATTATGAAATTAATTCAGTATTGTTGTTATGGATATGTAAATGTATTCATTTGGTTTTTCATAGGAGCCAAGCGTATACATTCCCTCATTGGCCCTGGATCCTGTTTCTAAAGGCACTTGACAATCTAGTCAGCTGGCTCTGTGCTACAATCATCCCTTAGGAATTGCAAGGAAAGGATTTGGCCCCTAGGATGTGCGAGGCAGTTTAGTATAATAGTTAAGGCACAGACTCGGAGGTCTACTCCGAGGTCCCAGTGTTGAGCAAATGCGAGCTTTTGGCCAGACAGCCCTCAAAGGGGAGGCCACAGAGGCAGGACGATGACAGGGAGCCATAGGTACGAGTTCCTGGTTGTGCCCATGTTTGTCTTGTTCTCCACTATATGTCTTCTGCCTCGCACATCAGTTTGTTTCCCGAATGTGGTGTTTTTACCGGGGATAGAAAGTTCAGCTGACTCCGTGGTGCAAAGAAGCAGGAAAACTGTATTTGCATGTACTCTGGTGTGAGCCCTGATTGATTCTTGACAAGCATGCCCTAGTTTACAGAACCAGGAAATGCTCGGTATTAAAATGCACCCCTTAAGGGCTGAATCCTTACTCCAGAGCTCGGTCAACACCCCACATTGTGGGTATTGAAAACGACCAAATGTCCTTGGAAAGTATCTTTGCTTTTCATCTCAAATGATATGAACCAGATTCATCAGATTTAATGACCTTTGGCTGTTTCCAAGAGTCAAATCCACCCTGCAGAGGAAGTGTTTGTACCTTAACAATATTTAGAACAATATTCAAAACAATCTAAAGGCAAATCCCACAGTGGCGTTGCTCCCTAAGGGCAAGGAGGGGATGTCGTAGGAGTGAATAATACTTCATTTATATGAATAGAAATGCATTTATAGGAATGGAGGCAGCAAAGAAGGATGAGAAAGGGACCACATACCTGAGTTTGAGGAACAGTCTGGAGTTTTTCATCAGGAGGGGCTGGTATGGGGTGTGTGTGTGTGTGTATGTGTGTGTGTGTGTTGTGAGATTCACAGTGTGCCTGGTTAGGCCCCAGGTCCTGAAGCTCTGCTCACTGCCACAGAGTCTGAACATGGCAAGTGATTTCTTTCTCTCTTCTATCTCACAGCCGCCGCCTCCAAAAACAGAGACCAAAAAAGGGCATAATGGAAGCAAAAGAGGTCAAGTAAGTTTACGTATTTCTTAACCAGACTTCAGGATGACACAGTTCATCTCTATAACCCCTGCCCATGTTCCAGCCCCGGTCAACAGTGCTGCAGGCCCAGGGCTTACACACACACAGAAACGACACAGCGGTCCTCTACCTCCAGGAGTGCTGAGCCCCACAGCCTCCGAGCTGGAATGTCACTGGGCCCCGCCTCTCCGGCCACACGCTGCCAGGCCAGCGGCTGGCTCTCTAACGGACGCCCTAGGGGGTGTGCGGAAGCATTTATGAATCCAATATAATAGAGTTGAAACTCGATAGGTGACGTGTTGGGGAGGGTGAATCTGGCGGACCAGCCGAACGGCAGATAGAATGTTTTCGATTGTAATCTTATCCCTACCGAGTAAGAGAGAAACAAACAGAAGGCACAAAATGATAGCCCTTTCTTTCTTCGGGTCCTGAAAAGGCACCCAAAGCCCCATTTCAGACAAACCATTACCAGACCTCCGATTTTGTCGGTAGCCTGACAAACAGTTCTTGTCCACGCTGGCCGGGGTGGCCTCAAGAGCCTCCAGAAGCCATCACCACCTGATCCGGCCATGGCTTCGGTGGCTGTGGGTGCTCCGGAAGACACACTCTCAGATGCCTGGACTTTAACAATAGAGTCGGAATAACCAGTCAGAATTCTGGAGACGATGCAGGCGGTGATGGGACTAGTAAAGGCGAAAAGTTAAATTCCTCCTCCGCACTAGGAGAGAGAAGAGGAGTGTGTGAGGAAATACCTGAGGAAGTGAAGTACCTGGTCGGTAGATCTGTAGGGATGAGCACAACACTCTCACGCTAGACCCCGGGAGGGAGCCGGGGCCTGGGGACCAAATGACCCAGCGTCAGCGTGCTCCGCCTCGTTCCAGCAGGTTGTCCTGGGTGTTCTGAGAAACTCGGGCCAGCATCAGCCCTTCCCATGGTCAGCTTTCCTACTTCTTTTTTTCCTGTTAGAAACAGGTTAAATGGTAGATTCTAGAGAGCCAGCCGTACCAGTTAAGAGGCCTGAACTCTGGAGCTAAACTTCCTGGATTAAAATCTGTCGCAAGTTACTTACCTCTCTGTGAAATGGGACAGTAATTGTATGTGCTTCAGGGGGTTGATGTAAGGAGTAAATGTGTTTATGTAAAGCGTTTGGAACAGTAGCGGGCATTTAATAAGCTCTCAAGAAGTGATGCTTACAGTTGAGAAGAATCGAACAAAACTCGACTGATTCACAGCAATTTCCCCACCTGTTCCATTGCTGAATAAAGGATTCCTGTCCCTGCTGTTAAGAATGTCAGATGGCGCTTATAATTAACTCATGCGATCAGTAGGGAAATGGGATATTTCTGCCTCAGGTCATGTTTGCCCTTGAGTTTGGCGTGTACACACACACACACACACACACACCCTTCCGAATCACCGTTATTCTGCTTCAAATGTGGGATAATTCATAGTGGCAACTTAGAAGGAGGGCACAGCAGGGCTGACCTTGCATCAGAAACACATGGCTGCCTTTCCCGGGGCTGCTTTCGGTCCCAAACCGCCTTCCACTGAAATCCATCCTCAGTGCTGCCTTATTTTAGCAGAAATTTTCTATCCTTTCTCACGTAAGACCTTTCCTGAAGGAGGGTTCCATGTTCACACTTATATTCTTCAAAAGGAACATGGAATACAGGAAAGAGCAGGTTTGCAAGTGGGTGGAGGAGGACAGAGGTAAGGACCGGACAGATACTCAGAAGCACAGCCTGGAGATTGACTTACCGTGGGGTCGAGGCTCAGGTCAGCCCGTGTCCCACGGCAGGGTTGATCAGGACGTTATACAGGCACACCTAGGACAGAAAAGTGTGTTCCCAGGTCAAGCCTGAAACCATGAGGGGAGGAAAATTACTCCAGACGCTTTGGGCAAGCATATGCCTAAAGGTCGTGCAGAGATGAGAGAGATGCCCAGACATAAGGCTGACACAGACTCAGCAGACCACATGTTGAGAGAGCTGTGTGTGTCCGGTTGTCAGTGGTGCCTAGTTTACAACCGGGAAGCTCCAAGAACCTTACTGCTCTGTGTTGGTAAGCGTCATTTGCCTTCGGTCTTTTAGCAGCCCATCACGGGCAAGATGTCGCCTCTTGGCTGTTTGACCATTAATTACGACACCATAGAGCAACCGCTGGTCCTAATTCAAGGCATCTGTGCGAACCTGGGGCTGGACCTGGGGACAAACCTGCACCTCGCCATCAACTGTGCTGCCCAGGAGCTGATGGATTATGTAAGTTTCTGCTCTGGAACACGTAACTTGTTGGGTCCCCTTATTTTTAAATTAGGACTCAAAAGCAGCACATACCTGAATATTTTCCAAACAGATCCTATTGCTTTTATTAATACTGTGTGTGTTTTCCCAATATAAATGGAGTCGAGAAAGCCGACTTAGCTAATGACCAGAGAATAACATAACCATATAATTTTAGAAATTATACAGGAAATGTCAAAATAGCTACATATGGAAATTCTGTAACAAAAATTGCTAAAATGGGATGCTCACATTGCAATGGACCATGAGAGCTATTGAAAAATTACAAACTGGTATGTTCTGCTGAGTTCACTCGCTTGGTTGGTAGATACTGAATTTGTCAGGCATAGAAAACGGTTCTGTTGTAGCTATCATTGGTAAGCCCATCTGGCCAGGTAAGTGGTTCTGAGTTTCTGCTGTGACTCCCTTTTTAAATATAAAAATATTTCCAAGTTGTTGATATTTGTGGAGACTGTATTTTTATCTGACTAAGCCCATCCACAGTGTTATCCACAGCCTGGGTTAGGGGGAGAGAGCTTTAGCGATGAAACTTCTCCCGGAGACTGCACCCCGTGGGGACAATTATTTTAAAAAGAGAGGAAAACAGGCTCATTTTTAAAAAGCTTTCATTTTACTTCCTCAGTGTAACAGAGCAGCAGTTAACCTTTGGACTTGGGAAGCTGGCATGTTAGGGAAACTGGTAAAAGGTGTCTGTCTGCTACATACAAGTTCCCTTCTTCAAAAACACAAATGCGGAGTCTGATGTATGCAGTGCCCAGCGTGTTGACGTACATTTGTGGTGACTTGGTAATTAATGTCCCATTCAGGGGATATGGCTGAAGAGAATTCCGCTTTAATCTGTGATTCTTTTAACTTCAAAGGAAAACTTGAACAGCATACAAGAACTCTAAGTTTCAGCTGACTTCTAAGTCCTTTTAAGTTTTCTAAAGATACGAAGCGCAGGAAGCCTTGTTTAATGTAATTTCCTATTCTCCACATAATGATTGGTTCCTAGACATACTATTACAAAAAATAATTGCATGTTTTCATCAGCAATGTATACCGAGAACTATGAGTATACTGACTGCTAGTGCTAGCTAGAATGGGTATTTTTTGCTTATATTCAGTGAAATGAATTAGGTTGATATCAGATAGTTCTTACAATGTTAATTCAACATCATTAGCATTTCTTTACTGACAAGATAGGATTTTCAAGGTTTTGCAGTAAAGAAACTAAAAGTTCCGGCTGCCTTTTTAATCTGAGAAAAGTACAAAATCCTTTCAAGTATGGATTTCTTTGGAACCTGCCTAGTTCCAATGGAATCTGTCCCGCTGGCAGTCATAGCAGGAAGGTGTCAGCAAACCAGTCATTCTGTTGCCTCCTGCCTCCTTCTTGGTACCCAAATAACCCAGGGGCCATCCCTGAACACAGACTTGGGAATCAGTGCCAGGATTTGCAGAGACATGACACCAGATCCGTTAGCCCCGTTTACTTCTATTCTTGATGACCTGGGGCTTCCCAGACTTCAGATGAATGGAGTTGAACTAGAACTCTTTCAGAACCATATGGTTACTGGTAGGGCATGCATGCTACCTGAGAAGGAGATGCCGTCACATGGGTCATGGGACATTTCACAGTGGCTGTTCCTATCTCCAAAACCTTGCCCTGCTTTCAAATTTTAGGATATTCACAGTACAGGAGACCAGCTGTTTGTTTACTGTGAATGGAAAGATGCTGGGTTCTGGTGAGTGGGAAGCTATGCACTGCTGTCCTGTTTTATAAATTCATGTCATCGCCCATGGACCCAAGCAGCCAGGTAGCTGGCACCACGTCCCGAACCTAAGTAAGAAATTATTCCCCTCCTACCATGTACCTGGTCTTTTGTGTAGAAGGCTTTGTCTGAAGTCCCTGGAAGGAGCACCATGGAGCATGAAGAGGAATGGTGACGAGATTTCCCCAGGCTAGTATGTAACAGATATTTAAACTAAAGTACACAGATGTCTCATGGGACTATGGCCCAAAAAGGACGTTTACAATCTTTTATAGGCAATGAATAAACGCAAATGGGAATCCCGCCTTTCCCCTTTGAGGAATTAATTCCTCATTCATCTTTATTTTGTGATTGTCCTTCCACCCTCCAGAGTAGAGGAAAGTATGAAGTGATGCTGGGAACATACAAAAACGCAGCGGAGATGGTGGACCTATACGTGGATCTGATCAACAGGTTCCCTGCAATTATCGCCTTAATCGATCCTTTCAGGAAGGAGGTAACAGGGATCCACCTTGAACTGTATAACAACAGAGAGCAAAATCTCATTCTTTTGGCTCAGTGGCTGGAAATAGTGCAGTTTGGGTTGGGGTGGAGGGGCTCTGCCTCCACCTAGGTGAGAGGAGTTGCGCACTGAACAAACACAGACCCGAAGTGGAGGGCCTGGGAGGGCGCCTGTGTGCAGAACAAGCGAGCTTTCCCGGGCACTTGGGGGTACCCATGTTTGCATGAGCAACCCAGGGCTGGCCGTTGCATGAGCTCCTGCTGCAGCGGGCCGGTATCCTGGCCGCGCTAAGTGCTCCCGGAACTGGGCCCTCTGCGCAGCCCGTGTGGCATCCTCCTTCCACTTCCCACACACGCAGGAAAGTTGCAAAGGTGTATTTTAAAAAGGTTTCAGAGAGCAAGGTTTTCCTATCTATCCGAGCTTTGACATCCGGCGAGGGTTGTTCCTCTGCCAGAGGGGGCCATCACTCTCCCTAACGCTCTGGATCTCCAAAACCTAAATTCTTGATGGTATGAATTGGAGAGAACCATTAGATCGACTGAACAGACAGTCTCTGGGAGATCAGGCATGGATTTAAGTGTGGGGCATGAGAAGAGAGCTGCATCACGCTCAGGGTCCCTGCACCTCCCTTGGCCATCACTCCTGTCACTGCCTGTGCCACAGCCCAGGGCTCGCCAAGCCACCACCCAGCTCCTTAACCTGCTGGCGGCATCTTCAAACCTTGATCCGGGGCTCTGGCCTCGTCTGGTTTTATTGTGCTAAGATGGTCTGTTCTAATGGGATAGGTCAGAATCTGGTACAGTGGTCTGAGAGACTTGGTAGATCTCCCAAGTCTTGGGAGACTTGGCAGTTAAAACAGCATTTCATTTCATGTGATGGTCTTACCAACAAAAACAAAGGTGTTGAGAAGGGAGAGCCTAGAGCCTTCGCAGGCTCATTTCCTTCTGTTTTCTGTTCACCAGAAATAACAGTGGCATCTTCTGGCCAGCCAGTTGTTAGTAGCGTTACGGATAATACAGTGGGTAGGAATAGCTTGGCTTGGAAGAACTTCAGAATCAACGTGGAGCATTTAATGTGTGTTAAACATTTTATCCAAAAGACCTTCAAGCTCAAATTTAATCACTTGAAGATTCTGTTCCACGAAACTGGTTAATTTGTGTGGCCATGGTTCAGGTACCACTCAGCCGCAGAAACAACAGAAAACCATTTTGTGGGTCTCAGAAAGGTGTTTAACTCTGATGAGGCGCTCTAGGGTTCCTGTTGCTTTGTGATCATGCTTGATACATTTTAACGTTCGATTCTTAAATATTTACCCAGGACTCTGAACAGTGGGACAGCATCTGTAATGCTCTTGGTTCCAGGTGTTACATCATCGCAGGAGCTGCATCCAAAAGCATTTCTAAACTTCTAGAGGGTGGGGACATCAGTACCCCCAAATCCAGTGGGCTGATCATCAAACATACCAACCAAACTACGATCTCTGACTTGGTGGAAATAACCAGTCTTCTTGACAGTGAGTAGAAGTATAGGTCTACAAGACTCATAAGGAACTTGGCTTGGTTACACAAGGAGCCAAAAAGGTACAGTTTGTCAGTTAATAGAAAGCATGGTGTAAATCTTGGCAGAAAAACAAATTTCCAACTGTCCATGAGAGCTCTGGTGCTGGGAGACAATTTGCAGCTGGTGTACTAATCCACTTCCTGGTGGTCCCACAACAGTCCCAGTCCAGGAGTCCCACCCCCTGCCCCCCATTTTAGGTGTGACTGAGGACAGTACCCTCTCCGCTTCACACCACAGGACAGTGATCCCACTCGCCCACGCTGATGTTTTAAAAATTCTTCACAAGTTTCAAACTCTTTACCCCCGTGAGGTCTGTGAACATGCTTGCCCTGTACCATTGGCTCACTACTCCTTATCCTTCAGGTCTTTCCTCAAGGGAAACGTTTTCAGATATGTATGACTTTCCTGGCTTCCCCCACCGCTACCCGGTTGCTCTCAACCGCCCTCGTAGCTTCTGATACTTTCTCCTTGTAGTATTGGCCACAATTACATGTACGGTTATTTAATGTCCAGTATCTGCCCATGAGACTATGAAGTCCCATGAGCTCACAGGAGTCTTGTTCAGTGCCTGAAACATGGGTGAGTCCCCAGAGTTAGGCAGAAGGCTTGTCTAAGACCTGAAGCAGGGCTCAGAGCCATACTGGCAGCCAGCGGCCTAGGCTCGTGCCAGAAAATGGCATGGAATGCCTGTGGTCCCTTGTCCTGGTGATGGCCCACACTAGGGCCCAGGCAGGGCTGCCTTCTAGGTAGTAGACGGGAAGTCGCAGCCCTGGCCTTTCCTCCAGGGCCGGCCCACTCAGCAGGCACGCTGTCATCCACTTCAGATCACTGCCATGGCTCAGCCTCCAAAACACCAAACACTGTCTCCAGAGTAGGAGCCTTGGCCCGTGTTCTTTGTAGACTTGTCAAACTTCAAGGGGTTCTGAGATCCTCAAATTTGGATTAAGTACCTTCCACACTGTTCTTCAAATAAGTTTACGTTCAGAAAGACAGATCCCTTTGAATAAAATTCTACACGATGAATTGTGAAATCCAATGAGGCCTGTCAGCTCCCAAAATGATACCCTTGCACTTACTATTTTGTCTCAAAGATGCACACTTTTCTACACTGAACACGGACAAAATGGAAATGTGTCTTTCAGTTGTGGTCCCCTTTAGTGGTCCTAAAGATCGATCTTACAATTTATGATATCTTTAATTAAAGTTGGCATTCGTGTAGTATTTAGCATCTGAGTTACTGGAAAGAGATAAACAGATAAAACCAGGGTAATTAAAAAATACAAATGTTTAAGTCAGAATTCTCTGGTGATCAAATCATTGACTCTTCACAGGAAAGTTGTAAATCTTGGCAATTTTTTCAATTTTGTTTCCAGAGGCTCATACATGTGTGTGTGCACATACATACACACACGTGTATTTATACATACATGTACACGCACGTGTGCATACATATGTGTGTCTGTGTACATGTATGTGTGTGTGTGTATATGCCGTTATGCTCACTGTTCCTGTGCCATCTAAACCTGAAAAGAATTCCTCTGCTCACAGGTAAGCAGCACATCACGGTCTTCGGAAGCGCGGAAGGGGAGTCGTCTGATGACAGCCTGGTCGATCTGGTAAGTACTGAAAGCTGGTCAATTGCAGAATTGCCAAAACACTGCTTTTATCATGAATTGGTATTTCAGAGAAATGCAGTCTTTGGCGGAGAAAGTCATGTAACCTTTTATGAAAGACTTGCTTCCTCCCAGACAGCTAGCTTTTGCAAAGAGCTAATCTTTGAACTTTTTAAAAAGAAGAAAAATTGAAGTCCTGGGAAAATGATGAGACACTTGAGTGGCTGGGACGTGCACTTGCAGTCTAACTGCCTGAAAGGAAGCGAAACTGTCCTTAGACGAAATCAGCATGCTCCCATGCCTAGTAAAGCATCGAATGCGTAGTCACGCTGTTTACCTTTCCCGTCTGTTTGTTCACAGACCTCCTTGTCTACATAAGGATCAAATACAAAGTTAGAAGAGAAAAATCAAAACCAGCAGTGTCAGTTCCCTTTCTCCCTGTTCATTTTTAGCAAAATGTGACTTCTCGCTTAAAATCAATTTTGTCCACCTCCCTCTCCTCCCTTAAGGCCATTGGACTCGGTGTCCGGTTTATCAAGTTGGGAGGTCTTTCTCGCGGCGAGCGGGTGACTAAGTACAACCGCCTCTTCACTATAGAGGAAGAACTGCTCCAGAGTGGAACACTGGGTATGTGCTGCTTTCTTGCTTTGTTTTCACTTAGCCATGAATAAGAGAACAAAGATTGGAGAAGGGGAATTGGAGGCCCTCGGCGGGAGGGCAGGGGAATCCAAAGACAGTTACTAAGTGCTGACAAAACTAGGGTGGCATTTGCCACGATGTGCATTGTCTTCTTAATAGATTATCTATTTACCTGGATGTTTCAAACCCTCGCCCTTCCTCTTGATGAATAAGCTGTGTGGTGCTTTTCAATAGAATTAATTGACTGGGATCTCCAAGCCCACCTTTTATTATGGTCCACATTATAGCTAAGGTCTCTGCACAGCCCCTGAAAAGTTAAAGGCAGGTGTTTTCCTGATGATTCTTGAAAACAACTGGTTTTATTTAAGACAAGTAGACCGCATGTTAAGTTTAATGTCATCCGTGGGGAAGGCTGTGGTCTTGAGAGAAACGAACCAATCATTTAGGAAGTCAAACCTCTGCAAATTTGCATGCATAGAAGGCACCTTGTGTACTGGGCTAATTGGAGAGAAACACCCCAAAGATGAATTTTTACTCTTCATGTTCCTGTGATGGCCAAAAGCAGGTGCGTGGCACATAGAGATATTTAGAGACCAAGTTATTGTCTTTGCAATTCTAAAAATATTTTGCATTTTAGGATAGAACAAATGAATCACTATGCTGGGGGAAAAGTATGTGTTTATTTAAGTAGTATTGACAAAATACGAAATTTTCTTGGATGCTATCCATAAGATCTCATATGTGATAAATTTATCAGGGTCTGGCCTTTAGAGCAAATCAGTTCTTGCATATGACAGCAAGGAATTAGTCCTATGCCTCAGGATATGCATTGAAAAAATAAAGAAGCCAAGAGAGATTGTCATTAGGAATATGTCATGTTTAACATATGTTACAACCTCAAAACGCTTCCTAAGCTTCATAGAAAATAAAAATATGATTGACTCTTTCTGAGTTAGGTAAGGGCAATCAAAGTTAGTGTTGTTCAGTGTGCTACACAGGCCTTGTTTTTTCCAATAGGTAAAATCATATTGTCCTACATATTACCAGGTTGGTTTTTTTATGTCATCCTGACTTGTGAAAGCCTTAAGTTCCTAAATGACCCATCACATTTCTAGCCAGACTTCCCCACAAGAGAAAACAGCTGCTTCCAGGTATCAGAAAGGATAGTGACCTGAGGCCCAGCCCCTCTCCCGGGGCCAGGGCCAAGCCCTGGGCGTTCTGGCCTAGATTATCAGATCACAGGCATGCCTCATTTTATTGTACTCCGCTTTACTACACTTCTCAGATACTGCATTTGTACAGAATGAAGGTTTGTGGCAACCCTGTGTCAAGCAACTCCCTGGGCACCATTTTTCCAACAGCATTTGCTCACTCCACGTCTCTGTGGGGTCAGCAAACTATCTTTGTTATGATCTGTGATCAGTGATTAATTCGCTGAGAGCTCAGATGATGATGAGCATTTTTTAGCAATAAAGTATTTTTAATTAAGGTAGGTCCATTGGGTGTTTTTTGTTTTTAGGCATAATGCTACTTCTTGCAAACCTCACAGACTACAGCACAGTGTGAATGGAAATTTTATATGCATTGGGAAACCAAAAAATTCACGTGACTCGCTTTATTGTGGGGTCCAGAACCGTATCGCTGGGATCTCTGATGAGTGCCTGCGATGAAAATTTCCCTGTCATTGGCCTGTGGTCAGTACACCCCATTGACAGTGGTCGATAAATGGGAAGGAGACCAAGAACTGGAGAGACAGATCTCCCCTCTGAGAGAAGGAGTAGGACATCCTGTAAAAGTTCGGCTGTTAACTGAGCACGTCACGTCACTGTCCACATGGACCTGACTGGAACAAAGTCTGCAGTCGTCTGCTTGGGAATGCTTAGTTGGCGATGGTCTGTACTCACATAGTGGACTGGCCTCTCTTCTAGTTCCTCTGCTCCCTCTGGTCCTCTTCTGCTAAGCCTCTGCCCAAAGTCCACTTCATACTGAATGTTCCAGAAGGGCACCATGCAGACTGAGCAAGACAAGTGTATTGCACAGTTAACATCTGAGCAAAGTCAGGCCCAGTTCTGAATGGTCCTGGGACCTTTTCTAATGGTGAGGGGACACCTCTGGGCAGTTCTGGAAATGGTCTCCTTTACGTCACAGAACCAAGAACATCAAACTTGGCACCACTGGATTCAACACTAAACTTTATTGTTGTTGTTAAATAGGTTTCAATGAAGAACACATATTTTTTCCCTTGAATGATGAAGCTGAAAAGGGGACCAAGGCACCCGAGGCTGTGGCTACCGTGGCTGGCGAGCCAGCCGAGCTCCCGGAGCCCATCTTCCCCACAGAAGTGATGGAGGCGTCGGCCAAAGCATGAGTGTCTCCTGGATGGGGCTGTGGACACCCCGCCTTTCGGCCACACTGCTAGCATGAGACCCGCAGAGCCCATCTGTGTCTTCACGTGGGCTTTGCTCTAAAACATCCCTAACCAGCGTGCTCTTTTTATTCTTGTGATTTCACTGTTTGGTAACATTGGTACGTAGTATTTCTGCACAAAATTATGCCTGTAAGCTGTGTCTTCCAGACCTTGAATTTCCATGGGGATTTTGTGTACCAGCTCTCCCGTCCACTTGGGGGGCCAAGACCTAGTAAAAGAGTCCAGTGCCTCTGCTGCCGAGCACACACGTGGGGCAGTGACGTAGCCGTGCCCAGAGGCACCGGGGCATTTTTACCGCCTTCCTCATGCAGGAAGAAATGTGAGAACTTCAGTCTTTCTAACAGCCAAACAGCTGCTTCTTACTTCCTTGCCCTTCATCCCCTTTTCCCTGATTCCCTCCTCTTTCTAAATTTTCATCTTTATTCTATTACTTATATGCTTGTGGGTGTCCTAAGATCCTTTTTGGAAAAAGCAGCAGTCTAAATGAATAAACCCATCAGTAAATGAATACATATTCTGAAGGTAATAATGCTCAGTTACTTCCGCAACAGCATCTCACAGGAGACAAACGACATATCACACAGGCTGACTAAGTGCCTCCCTACTAAGGCAGTATTGGGGTTATGGCAGAAAAGTACTGGAAATAAATTTATTCAAACACATACCTTATAGATATAATAATATCCTACTGCCTTATATAATTTAGTTGTCTGTTTAAACTTACCATTTGCTTTCCTCCAAAATGATAAAAATTATGACATACTGACCTGTGGGAGAGTTGGCTAAGTTGAGATTTCTGAGAACTTTCCCTCTTAAAGAGTCCCCATAGGGAAATTTAATGGCCTCATGGTAACACCAGGGCCTTATGCTCAAAGCAGTGATTTAAAATGGGCTCAGTGGCACGTTCTCTCTGAGCGGGGCGGGAGGGCTGGCTGGTATCTAAGCTGGGAGAACCGTGTCTGTGGCTGCTACTACTGCCTGTCCTGATGCTTAGCAACACAGTGAGGCAAGAGAAACTGTAAGGAAATTGATTTTATTTATGTTTTTTTGTTTTGTTTTTTTGAGAGGGGGGAAGGGGCAAAAGCAGAGGGAGAGTGAGGATCTCAAGCAGGCTCCGCACACAACACGGAGCCAGACACGGGACTTGATCTCACGACCCTGATATCATGACCTGACACCAAAATCAACAGCCGGATGCTTAACCCACTGAGCCACCTGGGCGTCCCTGGAAAATTCATTTAAAAGGCAGGTGGAACATGACTGGGTGTTTGCATAGCCTTTGCGCATATCCACACACACACGGAATAGGGGAGATTATCAGAGAGTCTGCCCTGGAACCATAACACGAATTATTATAATGAAATGAATGGAACCAGCACAAAAATTTATAAACTAAGTTAATAACAAAATTAAATTAACCCAAGAGGTCATTTATTACCTCGACCAGGTCAGGACTTCCATTTCAATGCAGGGCACAGCCCATCTACCTCTTCCTCACTCAAGGACTAGGGTCACCAATGGAGAGGGAACATTCTCATCTCTCAAAGTGAGGAACACAATTTCTACTTACATCTCTCTCCATACATATATGGTGATATGTCATCAGTATAAAACATGGACTATATATGGAAATTACTGCAAAAAAAAGTAAAAGAGACTAGGCAAACCCCATATAAATCAGTGACGATGGGACTGGGGAATGTTAGTGCCGGGAAGAAACTGTTACATAAAGGCTGCCTGATGATCCTTCCGAGGTCAGTGGTGATGACGGATAGCTGTCCCCTCTCCACAACGTACTGCCACAGAAGCTGACGTTGTTCTATGATGAAAGCCCTTCAACACACACGGAGAAATCATCCCGGATTCTGTAATACGGACCAGCATTTACCTAACCTACAACCTAAAGATGGTCTGGAAGGATGACAATCACCTGTCCCTGTAGGATTCCATTTCCAACATGCCGTTAACAAAGAAGGTGAGGAAAGGGTTGCCGGTGAATGGCCGGAGCCATGACACCCATCTTTTTCACTCATTTATAAAATGTTTTTGAGGAAATAGCTAAGAACGTCCCCTGAAGACCTGCGCGCTGGTCTTCCTGGGTTGTCCTGTCTCGGGCTGTTTGCTGACAATGGCACCCCAGCGAGCCAAACCTCAACACTGATGTGAAAAGGAATACTGTAGGCAGAACAAGGGGAGGAAAAGCCTACATCAAATACCTTTCCACCAAGCTAATTTTCAGTGCTTTGTGACCACCACGAAGTAAGAAAGCAACTTGGAAAAGACAAGAAGACTTTCAAAGACCAGGTACTGATTGGTGCCGGGCCCCGCAACACGTCTCCCCAAGCAGTTACCTTCTTACGCTGAAAAGGACAGTGTCTTCCTAAGGGTATCATCCTGCTGACGAGTGTGATGAAATATGGGATGATGGGTCTGTGTGTCCCTCTACTCCTAGGTGTATGTAAAACCCGTTGCCAGCAGACTGCTGTCAGACCCAGGAAGGAGAGCATGAAGAAAACACGGGGTAAAAGTCCTCAGAATAAACCACGGTGTCGATTACAAACAATGACTAAAGTCATCGAATCTTGGGCAATTTTCTTACTGAAAAGTGACCGGTTTGGGGAACTCAACCAAAACTGTCAATAACCACAGTTGACCTTGAGTGGGAAACTGTCAGTGCTTTTTAATAAGTGTGGCGAGGAGAGTTCCAATCACAGCATAACAGAACTTGTCTCAGAGCTAATGCAGTCTATAGTCAGTATATCCTAGAGCACTATTATTCCATTAGGAAAATTACAGTTGGAAAACATTACATTTTAATTCCCCGTGAGTAAACCGATAAGTAACTGTAAAATCATCACTGGAAGAACATGGAAACAGGCAAGCATAACAAAGCTACAGAAGGGTAATTATCTCCAAATTTAGGAAGTACATTGATTTCCCTGCCTACCCGCCTCTTCGAGCCTACGCTTAGCACACGTGCAAAAACGAAACACAACCACTGACATTATTACTATCATTTTCTTTTGCCCTTAGGTGAGAAACACCTGACAGCTACATGCTGAGCCACGCTAACAAAACTAAACCTTCCACTTTCTTTAATAGTAAAATTACCATTACTGAATCATTGTCATAAAAAATGCATTCAAGTACATTACCACTTATTTTAAATAAACACCAATTTGGAAACAATCAACGTGGAAAAAGCTGTATAAGTTTTTTTTTTTCTTTTTTAAAAATCCCTGATTACATTTCTATTTATTCACTGTGGTAGACTGAAACGTATTTTTAGAGACTAACTACCACTTAATTTCTTTAAGAAAACACACATACGCACACAACAAACCTGTGTATGTAGAGCAGCAGTGAAGCAAGAAAACTGTGCTTATCACTTCTCGTCACTGTGCAGAAGAAATCGCGACAAGTCGCGATAAACCACGGTGCTGGTGCTGCTCAGTATGGGAGAAAACACGAGGAGCTCCGAGCACAGGGCGCACGGTTTACTGAGATAGTACTTGATGAAATCCAAGGCTGGGACTTTCCCCTCCATTCTGCATTTGGGCCACCAGCGCATTCCCACCGGGATCCTGGGAAGACTTTGGACACAGTCACCGGTGCACATGCCCCGTCCCAGAGCAGACAATGCATGTCATTAGCCTGGTCTCTGGCAGGGCTGGTTTGATGTCTGCAGCTCCTGAATTTGAAGCTTATCTCGGTATATCCTAGAGAGTGATCTGTACGCCATGGTGCCTCACAATGTTCACGCTGCTCCAGTTTCTCTCTCCAAAGATCAGACAGAAAACAGAAGCTGCTTTGGGGAGAGGGGGTTTCAATCTCCTTAAAGTTGGTCAGTTCTACTGATCCACTCATCCACAGTGCTGCAGACTTGCAGCAGCACGTTTGATGAGTGGTATGCACGTTACCTAAAATGACAGACACCCGAATTTTCGGTGACCTTCTAAAAGAAGTCACACTTAATACAGTAATTCGAAAAAAATATCTTATCCCTAGGAAGAAAAACAAAACCTACAGAGGATGTGTATTTTGCTGAGCTTACTTATGTTAATAGGTAAATTACTTACAAAAGTGACACCAGAAAAGAGCCTGCATTCTGAGTACAGTGACAAGAACAGAGTGTCTACGGCGCTTGCCAACACACCAGAACTGATCGCGTACCCCTCCGGGAAGGGTCTGTGCACCCATCAGCCCTCCGGGGTACGGATCAGCAGTGGGAGCTGTCTGCGTCTCTCGTTTTCTCAATGCCGTCTTCTTTGTGTTCCGGTTTTATTTCCTCTTCGCCATCCTTGCGTGCAGTGGAATCTTTTTCAGTGACCTGGTCTTTGGTTTGGGGTTCGTGTGTGGAAACAGGATCTAAAACTACAACGGGTCCCGCTCGCTGCTCATGGCCAAAGCTCTCGCTCCTGTGTCCGGTGTTACTGAGAGGCCTGGAGGAAGAACAGTTACACAAAACAATAAAAAGCAGACAGAGAAAGTATTTGGCTTTCATATTCCTGGATTCAGACCAACAACAACAACAAAAAAAACCCCAAATGCTCTAAGTCTAATTAACATGCACAAAGTGGTCTTTGAGGTGCCAGCCATTAAAAGAAAAAAAGGAGCTATTAGATGACATTAGGAGCGCGAGGCCAGAAGAAAGAAGGCGGAAAAAGTCAGAGCAATTAGCTATGGAAGTATTAAAAAGCCAAACGCACCTACCTGTTAATTACACACTCTGCTCAAGAAGTGCAAAGCTCCTGGGTGCCGCGCGGGCCGCCCCGCTGCCACCCTGACTCCTGTCCCACCTTCACTTAGCCAGGTCTTCACTTAGCCTCAGTCCCCACGGCCACCCCCTGCGCGTCCCTGGGGACACCTGGTGGCAAACTAGCTCTGAGCAAAGTGAGCCACCCCCACCGCGGAGGGAGAGCTCAGAGATGCTCCTGCCAGGACGGACAAGAAGAAATCTGGTCAGGCCAGGGGAGGCGCAGGGAGGAGTGAGGCCGATGGAAGAATCCAGGCACTGAGCTAAAACGCTAAGTGACCATCAACTCTTTCTAAAAAGGAGAATCGTGCTCCTTGAGAAGTGTTTTAAAGAATTTCAGAAGCTGTTTCCTTCTCCAGAGAGGCTCCCTCTCTTCCCTTCTATTCTGATGCAAGAAGCTTCCTCTTCTCAAGCTACGTGGGTGACAGTCTCTGCGACAGAGCTGTCCGTGTGTTCTCTTGCCACGGGTCAGGAAACCCGGCCACTGGCACCTACTCCTCTCAGGAGTCCTGGTCAGAAGCCACCCTCTGAAGGTACTGGGGTACCCGACTTGGTCCTGAAGCTTGATGGGTGCGGAGTAGGCAGGGCAGGGGCTCTTCAGATCTATCTGGTCTTCTTGGCAAATGCTAGGACGTTAAGCACGAACCAGCACACCCCCGTCCCCCCTCTGGACGTCAGGACTTGTACTGAGGAGCCCACTGCTCGCCCTGCCCCTTGCAGGAGTTGATGCTCCTGTTCCCCGACCCTGGGAGCAGGCCCGACCCGGGGCCACTCCTTTATCACCTGCTCCTTCCCCCTTGCCGGTCTCCCCACAGTAATTATGCAACACCGGGTAATTAGCTAACATCTGTCTCTTCAAATAAAGCGGAAGCGTCCACGAAACAGGGTCTGTTAGCCTCGTTCACACTTCTACCCCAGCACCTAGCACGGATCCACTTGTGGCGTAAATGGGCGGATACTAATGAAGCGTGAGAGGCTCGGAAACCCCGGCTTTGGTACGAATAGGTCTGGAGGTCTCTCTTCTATGACAAAAACAGCAGAACAGATGCACAACTGAGAAAAAGCAGCCCCAGGGTCCAGCCCCAGGTACTACAAACTCAAACCCCACAACTGGGGTCTTCCCGCTTTTTTTTTTTATTTTTTATAAACATATATTTTTTTCCCCAGGGGTACAGGTCTGTGAATCACAGGTTTACACACTTCACAGCACTCACCATAGCACATACCCTCCCCAATGTCCATAATAACCCCACCCCCACTCCCAAACCCCCTCCCCCCAGCAACCCTCAGTTTGTTTTGTGAGATTAAGAGTCACTTATGGTGTGTCTCCCTCCCGATCACATCTTGCTTCATTTATTCTTCTCCTACCCCCCTAAACCCCATGTTGCATCCCCTCTGTCTTCCCGCTTTCTGACCAGCACTACAGAACCTGTCCAAAAGCTTCGAAGCCACGCCCCCTGGCTGCCCAGTTATACTGTCATTTGATGACGACCAGGTCACACACGCACAGGGTCTCCTGTGGCAGTGGTAAAAGCACTGGGACGGCCAGGAGCGTGAGAGGTAGGGCAGATTTGGCAACACCCTTGTCACTAGAAAACACCAGGACACTCCCGTCGACCTTGGCCAAAGACCCACTTCTTAGGTCATCTGTTGCCATGCTTTGGGAATTTCCCCCCCCCCCCGTTTCGCCCGTGGTACCTGGTTTGACCTTCTTGGACCCAGGTGACACCTGGAAGCCTAGTGGACACAGGCAGAGGAGCAGAACCACTATGAGAGAGACGTGGGCTCTACAATCCGGATTAGTCGTCAGGCAAGGGAAAAAGCCAGTCCGCCTAGGGGAGTCTGTGGCCTCTGTGTTGGAGGCTGGGCCTGAAGTCCATAGTTCCAGCAAGGAACTGGAGGCTGGGAGAAAAGTGGCAAGAGATGGAAGACAAACCAGAGCTGCATCCGTCCTGCCCAGTCTCCAACCGCGTGATGCAGACCACCTGCAGGACACCCTGGAGCCTGACACAGGGAACCGCACACACTCCTAGTCTAAACTTTGCAAACGCTGGAGGTGGTGGTAGGGGAACTGGGAAAACTGTGGGCCAACTAGGTGATACCTCACATGAACCACAGTAGCACCTGCCCTACGTGGACTTTCTGGGCCATCAGAAGAAAACAAAACAGATGACTACTAGGCCACTCCTGCCTTCTCAATCTCCTGCAGAGTTCTCTTGTGGTCAACCCTAACCTGGAGACAAAGGGGCAAGGGAATTTTAGAAAATGAAGCGCCAGCCTAGCCAGGTTGTTCCAGGCAAAGACACAACCGTCCATAGGTCGGCCACCAGTCTCACTCCGCCATCTTGTCGCGGAGCCCACCACTAAGCAAGCCAGCCAGTCCGCTCTGAGCATGGCAAGGAAGCTTCACCTCATTCCAGGTGAGCAACTTCCATCGACCCACACTGACCTTCTTCCTCCTACAGAACCACTGCGAATGTTTTCAAGCCCATGTGTGTCTGCAAGTGAAGGGGGGATGAACACATCTGAAAAAAGCTTTCTGCCTAGGCTGGAAGTGAAAACTTCCAGGAGATGCTCTCAGGGCACAGGCACAAAAAGATAACTGGATGTCAACTGAACTGAAAACTCAGACACCCTGTGTGGTCAGGATGAAATTGGCCCGAATTGTCTCCGTCTGGAGAATTGTTCTTCTTTCCTGAAGTAAGTTTCTCAACTGCAGATTAATCTATTATTAAGTCACCCACAGCCTACAATTTGAGAACTCTTTTCCTTTGTTGATCTGATTATTGCTGAACTTGGCGCTGTGGGCAATTTCTCTGAATCTCTGCACTGAGAGTCAGAGTAACCGATTTATCCAGGAAAATGACCATGGACTTGGAATCCCAATGGGTTAAGGCTAAAAGGCACTGCAGCAATCGAGTCCAAGTGGTCCTTTAACCGAAGAGCAAAACGAGGCTGGAGGGGAGAACCCGTTAGGTCAAGAGTTAGGAGCCATCTCTGTTTTCCTGCATTTTCCACGAGGCTTACCCCAGATGGCTTCTTCCAGAAACAGGATAATGATGTCACAGGTTAATTTTGGCATGCTTACTGGTTTATGTCTTTCTGAATCCGTTTTCAGATGTATCTTTCAGAATCTGTCCCTTTCAGCTATGCCTTGCTGTTTTCCCCTCTGTTATCTTGTAACTCCTCTGGATTTGAGACATTAGGCCTGGTCCTGGTCCCCACAGGGAGCTGCCCAGGACCCTTCTGGAAAGAGAGACCTTCCTCTGCAGCCCCCATCTCTCTCTATCCCCATCTCACAGGAAGAGCCAGAGAGTACCATCAGTGACAGTGCCAAGAACCCAGGCTCTTGCTCTGTGTCGTCATGGTGGCAGATTTCTAGCAGGTTAAAGCTTCTCCTCTAACATAAACTCCCAGGGGCTCAAATGCCACAATCCAATAGGAATTATAGTAGACTATCATTCAGTTCCATTTTTCTGCTTTAATTCTTCACCTAATAAGGGCAGTGACCACAAATGAGGAATTAATAATATTTAGCAATCATGAAAAGTATGGCAGATCTTCTCCTGTACGCTACAAAATCTCCAAGTAAAACTTAAATTTTATGGGTGTTCCATAAAGTAAGACTAAACTCACGTGCCATTCGGGTTGAAAGGCATGACAGACAGGAACTAGTCTAACCTTTCCATTTGTCAGATGAAGACACCAAAGAAGAGTGAGTTCATCGATCTGCTCGAGGGCACACACCTTGTTAAGAGCAGACCCGAGACTAAAATCCTGGAATCTGGATTTCCTGGGGTTTCTTTCTTACCACAACATACTGGTAGTCGTTTAGGATCCATTCAAAATATTTTCATGGATCATTTTAGAAGGTTTGCTCAAGAGCTGTTTCAAGACAAAAAGAAAAACCAAAAAAAGCGAATTAAGAGCTAAGAGGCAACACAGCAATCTGTGCCGCTCCAGGAAGCCGGACGGGTGCCCTCTTAGAAAGCAGCTGCAAGGGACCCAGAGTGCGGGGCTGGGCACGTGGGGCCACTTGCTGGTTGGAAGAAGGACCGGACTACAGAGCAGAGGGGTACCAGGAGCACTCGAACTACAGTAGACAGCACTGCCAAAGCTGAGCTTCCAGAAAGGGACTCCGTGATTTCTCAGACTGTATTACAAGAGACGAAAGAGCAGCATTCTAATTTTAAAAAAAAAAAAAAAAAAGCACATCATTGTTTGCATTCAATGAAACTCCTTTCAAAATCAACTTTCCACATTCCAATTATATTCAACAACATTCTAGCTAACATTTCGGCTGCAATTCAAATTAACTAATGCCCAAAAGAGCCCTAATAGACGTGGTTCTGAGCTCAATTGAATACAATCAAAGCTCATGAAATGAAGGGGGAAATGCTTATTTCATGCAAATTCTGCATATCACTCAAGCTTAATTTTACTGATAATATAAAGGTGGGACATTTTGAACATTACAGTGAATGAAACTTTTAAGCTGCGAGAGTTATTTTATAAAATGCTACCTCTGAAAAGCTGATTGCCAAACAGTATAAAAATGGTTTGAGGCATAAATGCCAAGTTCATTTCTACTTCACTTCTGAGGTAACTATCTTTCAAATCGCAACAGCTGGACTATTTAACACAATCTGGTGAATCAAAGTATAGTTCTTCTCTGGTCTCCCAGTG